GAGACAGAGTTTCTCTGTGTTAACAGTAGTCCTGGCTGTCCTGGAACTTGCTTTGTAGACCAGGCTGGCCTCTGCTTCTTGGTTTTTAGATCTCTTCCAATACTAGTTGTTGTTGTTTGTTTTTTTTTTTTTTTTCCGAGACAGCTTTGCGCCTTTTCCTGGAACTCACTTGGTAGCCCAGGCTGGCCTTGAACTCACAGAGATCCGCCTGCCTCTGCCTCCCTAGTGCTGGGATTAAAGGTGTGTGCCACCACCGTCGGCTTAGATCTCTTCCAATACTAGTGTAACTAAGATATGGTCCATGCACTTGAGGAACAAACGTAGTCAGCTGCATCTCTGTTAATGTTGACTATTGTAGGCAAAGCCTCCCACATGCTCTGTTAGAAGTCCTCTCTCCTTCTTGTGGCTTTCTATCTGCTCGTGATTTTCTAAGAATCCTAAGGCATACTTAGCCGAAAGAGACACAAAGTCTCTGTTTATTCTGGCCTCCTTCAGCACTGGGCCTTTGCACATCCACATAAAGTCTCCTGAACTTTCTCTTGAAAAGCTAAACTTGGGTCAGGCAGAGGGGGTGCACGCCTTTAATCCCATCACTCAGGAGGCAGAGCCAGGTGGATCTCTGTGAGTCCAAGGACAGCCTGATCTACAGAGTGAGTTCCAGGACAGGCTCCAAAACTACACAGAGAAACCCTGTCTCAAAAAATCAAAACAAAAAACAAAAAAACAACAACAAAAACCCAAACCAAAAAACTACAGAGCAGGCAAGTTTTAAATATTGGCAGCCTAGGGAAGAGGGCAATGGAGGAGAGGAGAGAAGTGAGCCGGCACCGTCTGCAATGGGACCGCATTGGTAGTGAGCCTGCCAAAAGGGGGTCAGCTTCAGAGAAAGAACAAACTCCCGTAAGTTGTCCTCTGACCTTGGGGGGAAGGTAAGGTGTGCACGCGCGCGCGCGCGCGCACACACACACACACACACACACACACACACTAAATAAATGTCAAAAATGTTAATTCCACTGAGCAAGAATAAGACCACTAACACAATTTAGAGTCAAATTGCAAGAAAGTTTTAATTAAATATTGGCTAGGTCAGTTCCTGGGTTCCCAGAAAATGGCAACAAGTCACATTTTGCTAGGGCTTATAAAGGCCACCATATTTCCCATCAGATCCAATCAGGGGCAAGCATATATCCTGAGGAACTTCCTGCCTGCATACTTCCTGCCTACATCTCATTAGGGTAAGCATACATCCTGATGTATTTCCTACCTACATATGGCCTGCCTCCATGTGATGAACAAATCCAGTGCTGTTGGGTCAAACAGACTTGTTCAGGGGAGTGAAACCAAACAATAGCCTCCAGCATTTCAGGAAGTTATCTGTCCCTGGGCAAGGGGCTTACAAGTTGGAAGCATTTTTGTTTCATGGATCTCTTAGACACAGTAATTAAAACATAAAGCCTAACTTTGGCTCTCACAAAAACCAACAATTGTAGACATTATTCTAGTCTCAGCTGGGCTATTTCATTCCAAACTTCTCCTGGAGGGATATGTCATGTACATGGACTCACCTTCATCCTTCTCACCTTGGAGAAGGTGTGGACAGCGCCATCATGCTGTGCCTGTTCACTAGGAGGACAAGGCTTGGCTAGCGAGCTAAGTGTCAGCACCTTTTGCTTATTTTGATGGACTTGCTCACGTTGACATGTCAGGTGCCAGAACAGGGTTTCATCCAGGACAGGCCGCTGTTTCTCACCCTTGTCTTGTTCTCATGTCACCAGATATTGGTGTCTCTCTGATGAGCTGGACGTTGTCTACCCTTTATTTGAGGGAGCAGTGCTGCTTGAAGGTCTTCGACAGCAGGATGTGGGGGTCCCTTGTGTCTCCTGAGCCTGCAGCTGGGTCAAAGGACAGACATCATGCTAGTGGGGTCAGGCCTGGGCCCTCTTTAAAGAGTTATTGTTTGTTTTTTTTTCAAGACAGGGTTGCACTACCTAGCCTTGGCTGGTTTGACGTTTGCCATGTAGTCCAGGCTGGCTTTGAACTCGCAGAGATCTACCTGCCTCTGCTTCCCAAGTGCTGGGATTAAAGGCGTGTCTGCCATGCCCAGTTTTAGAGAATTTTTTTTTTTCCTTTTGAAAGAGGTTATCTTAAGTAGCCTTAAACTTGCTATGCAGTGAAGGCTGACCTTGAATTCTTGATCTTCCTGTTTTTACCTCTCAGGACCTGCGATTATAGATACCATCATGCCTAGTTTTATATGGTCCTGGGTTCCAACCTAGGGTTTTGTGCATGTTAGGCAAGCTCTCTATTAACTAACTTATATCTCCAAACATGGTATATGTTGACTTTTCCCCTACTATGGGTTTAGGGTTTTTGGTTTTTTTTTAACTTGCATTTATATTTATTTATTAATTCATTTATTTGTTTAAGTGCTGGAGATTGAACCCAGGGCCTCCATAGGCTAAATATCTAAGCACATCTTGTGTTTTACCACTGAACCATATCCCAATTTATTCATTTATTTATTATGTGAGTATGTGTGTGTGTGTGTGTGTGTGTGTGTGTGTGTGTATGTGTGTGTGTGTGTGTATGTGTGTGTGTGACAGAGGACAAATCGTGGGAGTCAGTTCTTTTCTTCCAATATGCATCCTCCAGGTAATGAATTTAGACCTCAGGCTGTCAGGCTTGGCAGCAAAGCGCTTTGTCTCACTGAACTATCTCAGCAGCTACTCTACATTTTCAAGAAGGGAGGAATAAACCTATTACGTTTATTTTAGTATGTGTGTGTGGCACGAGTGTGTGGGTGCCTCTGGAGGTCATGGGGGGGGGGCATCAGATCCCCTGGACCATGCTGTAGTTGCATGTTTGTTGAGCTATCAGGGGGGTGCTGGGAAACAAACTCCAGGCCTCTGCAAGAGCAGCCACTGCTCCTAACTGTGAGCCTTTGCCAGCCTTGACATTTCAGATACTCAAATCCACGGTCTTAGACTTTGTCAGTTCTTTGTCAAGTTCAGAGTTTTCCCACCCCAAATTTATCCTATCTATCCCAATTCTCTTTTTGCATCTCAATGTTCTATCCTGTGGCCTCTAAACCTATGTCTTTCCAGAAAGCAAGAGCATGTAGTGAAGCAGTGACATGGGTAATGTTCCAAGTTTATCTTTTCTGTATAGGAAAAGCCACCTGTTTGATCACATAGTTCATAATTTAATGCTCTTTGTAATCTGACAATAACATATAGATAGCTCTCACAGCAGACTATTCTAAAACATTTATTTGTAATTAATTTATTTATTTTGCATGATCAAGGATCGAACATAGGGCCTTAAACATGTTAGGTGATCACTCCCCCACTGAGCTCCATGCCTAGCCCTTTTTCTGCTCTTTATTTTGAGACAGGGTCTCCCTAAGTGGCCAACTGGCTTTGGCTCTGGCTTCCCCTGCCTTAGCCTTCTAAGTGCTAGGATTACAAGGGTGCCACTATTGCTAACTTCATGAGTTTATTTTCTTAACTTATTTTTTATTTAATGTCTACAGGTGTTTTGCCTCTATGCATGTCTGTGTATCACATACATGCCTGGTATCAGCAGAGGACAGAAGAGTACAGAACAGATGTTTGTGAGCCACCATGTGGGTATTGGGAGTCAAACCTAGGTCCTCTAGAAGGACACACGTCATCATGGCAGCTGGCAGCGTCTCTCTGCCTCAGCCTTCTACTTCCCAGAATTCTCCTCTCTGCTTGTCCTGCCTATACTTCCTACCTGGCTACTGGCCAATCAGTGTTTTATTTATTAACCAACCAGAGCAACACATTTAATATACAGAACATCCCACAGCAATTACCTATCTCTCAGTCAGGTGCTGGCAAAGTTTCTCTTTGGCAAAGGCCCAAAACAGAAGCTACTTTAGCCAAAAGATAAAATCAAGATGGGGCTTGAGTGTTGGCTCAGGGGTTAAGAGCACTGGCTGCTCTTTCAGAGGTCCTGAGTTCAATTCCCAGCAACCACATGGTGGCTCACACCATCTATAATGTGATCCGATGCCCTCTTCTGGCCTGCAGATATACATGCAGAGCACTCATACATAAAATATAAATAAATTTGAAAAATTAAAAAAAAAAAGGGCACCTGTTGCTCTGGCAAAGGACCTAGGTTCGGTTCCCAGCACCCACTTGGTGGTTCACAATCATCCTTAAATCCAGTTCTAGGGGATCTGATGACTTCTTCTGACCTCCATGGGCCCATGCAGGCAAAACACTCAGACAGGTTAAAAAACTATTCTATAGTCAATTATATAAGAAGGGTATAATGGCTAATCTTGAGAGTGCACTGGATTGGAATGAGCACCTAGGAGATAGTGAAACTCCTTTCTGAATGTGTCCATGAAGGTGTTTTCAGAGATGATTAGATGACAAGGGGTGCTGTTCTAACAAATGGTTTAATTCATTGATTCCAAATAATGCATTACTGGCGGAGAGGGGGGAAAGTCTTTGCATGGTTGGAGGAAGTAGATTACTAGCTCACTCTGGTCATCCTTGGGCTATATTCTGTCCTAATCCTTCC